AGCGACGAGAACAGCGGACCTACCGGCGGCAGGCCGCCGAGGGGCCATCGCCGACCCGCGAGATACGACAACACAGGCGAAAGTGGTGCTGCCTGTGGTCATGGGTTGGGTCATGGGTTGCAGCAGTCTGCTGCCGCCGTTGATGATGACAACGGCCGCGGCCGCGACCCTCTCCCGAGCCACGCCTCTCGCCGGCTGCGCGTGGCCGCCCCCGCCGCTGCCGTAGAAGCGGAGGGTTCGCGATGCCCCCTTACGATGCTGTCGCAAGCTGCCGGGGTCGCCGGGTTTGCTACCACGACAACCACCGCAGCAGCCATCGCCCGCATCACGGAAAGCGGGTTCATCTCCAGGCTGCGACGCTTTCGCCGCCTTTGCTCCGCGAAATCTGCAGATCCACAGCGCTTTCCGTGACCATCCATGGTCTACAAGCTTACAGGCGACACAAGCAAGCCACCTGGGGACTGTCCCCGAGATCTGGAGTGCGAGAGGGTGCTCAGCGTGCTGGCGACTGCAGTGCAACTCGAGTGCTCCCATTTCGGAGTCATTTCGGAGTTTCTCTTCGGAAAATGCAGAAAATGAAGCGGCGCCCGAAAAATTCCGACGCTTCATTTTCAGCATTTTCCGACAAGAAATCGGCATTTTCCGAAAAGTAGGGCGCATGTCGGCATATTCCAACAGAACAAATCTCGTTAAGAATCCTCCCAACGGCTGGATCCGAAATGCGGGCTAGCTCCGAAAACCAGAGGTGGGGGAGTAGCGACAACGAATGACTGCGAGGTTGTTGTTTGTTGTTGTTGTATCTCACATTAGCTCTAAAAAAGAGAGATTGGGAGCCCGTGGTCTCAAAACCCGGCATACACGACCCCACGAAGAAACAGAAAAAAATAGGGTACAAAAACCACTCGGAAGAGAAACAAAATGATAGAAAGAAAGACCAGCTACCGCACCAAACGAGAAAGAGCGTCGAGGAGACCGATCAAAATAAAATAAAAGGAGGTGCTCCTCACCAGCTGTTTTCGGCTGGTTCTTTGAAGGGTAGATTGCTGATTCGGCGAAATAGCAGTGTTGATGAGACCAGTCTCCATACTGCTCGCCTCTCGCTCGATCTCTGATACACACCAACTTTCAGGACGCGAGTCTCGTTTGACTTAAGGTGGCGATGGTGCCGTCTCCTTCGTTGCGGTACCGACGGAGTTGGAGTCGTTTTCGGACTGCTGTGGTGGTGGCTGCAGTGGCGACAGCTTTGGCTGCATCCCTTTTGGCCGCTACCGCTGCGCCAGCTGCGGCCGCTCAAGAAGTCATCAACCTGCCAGAGCTCGCGGTTAGCCGTGGGCAGACTCAAGACCACGGACGGGTGGAGTCTGTGCCAAGGGAAGGTCCTGGGAAAGGGCCAGGAGGCTACGAAGAGTTCAGCTCTCTCCCCATGATGGACGTGGGTGAGGAGTGTACACCCAGCCGACTCTGGGTCAAAGACGTCGATACGTCAAGCTATGAGCTGGGGTGCAAAGAGATTGAGGTGCGTTTCGGCAGTTTTTTTCTCGGTCGACCTGCAGTAGTCTATGAGATGAATGACGACCGTACATACCCGGTTGGGTCGTCTAGCTGGTAGAAGTGGAGGATAGTGGCCAGAGGGGCAGACGACAGAGTCCAGTGATGGGAGAAAAACAAAACAAAAACGAAGGACTTATCATAAATCTAGAGTCTATGTAACCCCGGTCCTCCGAGTGATGGTGGGTGCCACATAGACTATACTAAAAGTTCCGTTGCCGTTTAGTTGGGAGCCTACCGGTCGCTGTACTTGCAGATAGATCCAGTAGATAGAAACGTGTAGTCTAGGCCGCATCAAACCGCATCCAACAACATATTCGCCTGATTGAGAGCGAAGTATCTGATTGAGAGCGAGAGCCAAAAAAATTGAAATTTCGGGTCCAGACGCCTCTTGCCATTTCTTGGCAAGTAGGGGACGGGCTATTCCAAGAAGCGGTGCAAATTGAAGGTCTCATCAGCAGCTTCGCGAGCATATGCGTGTCATCGTCATCGGATGCTGCAGCGAGGAGCTAGACAAGTTGCTAGATTTGCCCAGATTGGCTATTTCTGCTCAAACTGTTTCAGGGCGGTATCGCGTCGGGCGGTGGGCTCTGCTGTAGCTTCTGCTCCCCGCTGTAGCTCCACAACGAGAGACTCCCACAGGATGACCAGGGTAGCGGCTTGAAGCTACGGGCTAGCCCTTCAATTCAAGCTACACAGGAAGCTCCACCTCTCAGTGGTAGTCCGGCTACAGCGTATCGCGCAATCTCGCTCTCAATCAGATGCTACGCTCTCAATCAGGCGAATATGTTGTTATCCACACATCTAGTGAACGAGTCTGAGGCACCAAAAATCTACTACTAAATACGTATGTACGTAAATCTTGAATACATGGCGGCGTTGAAAACTGGGGCGCACTTTCCACATGACATCACGACTATCTGTGCCACACATAGATCTACCTGTCTGTGTGAGGCTGTGCTGCCTTGTAGCTTCGGGGTTGCATGTAGTCTACTGAAGCAGTCTACTACGTTTCGCGCACACAAGTGGGGTGATAGAGTGACATATGTTCCAGAGCCGTTATATTCTGAAGACATAATTATTTTTCCAAGAAAAGAACAAAATGTGAAGTACACGATTTCCCCAACCCCTGTGTGAAGGGTACGCATGGCTCCGGTGGACGGGTTGCGCCCCCCGTAACCCCTTGTGCCCCGTGTCCTGGGGTTCCCGGGAAAATGGTGCTTTTTGTTCCAAACGTTTTTCTTTTTGAGATCGAACTCTCACTTTGTATTCATCATTGGATTCTGTCGTCTGCTCCTCTGGCCCCTATCCTCCACTTCTA